GGGCTTCCAGCCTGTCACCTTTACAGAGGCAGATGGTCCCCCCTTCTCCGAGGGAGCAGCCAGTGGATTGTAACTATTAACTCTTTGGAGGGCAGGACAAGGCCTCCTCGGTGTCGTCCCCTTCCTTGTGGTCTGGATAGCTACTCCTGGGACAGTGAAAGGACAAAGACGGACTCAGACCACGCCCTCGCGTGCAGTGAAAGCCATGCACCATCCTTGCCAGTCCACGGGGCAGAGCCAGAGTCCCCTAAGAGCGCAAGGCGGGCTGATGACCTTCGGGGGAAAACCATCTTGTGAGCATGTTCTCTGTGTGTAACTGCACGCATTCCTCCACAGACGGCTGGGGGCGCAGTGGTCAAGTGTTGGGCTGCTAAGAGAGCCCGGCTGTCTGCTCCCATGAAGATTTATGGTCTTGGGAGCCCTAAAGGGTAGTTCTACTCTGCCCTACAGGGTCTCCCTGAGTCTGAATCAAATCAGCAGCAATGGTTTGGGTTTCTTCTTGACCCCAGGAAGGCAGCCAGCTCAGGCGGAGGAACACAGGGCAGGCAGATGGCACAGTCATGGGAGAAGAGCGTGCTCCCCGAGAACTCTGGGCGAGAGAACTGCTCTTCGCCTACCGTCCCAACACAGCAGCTACTTCACAACAGCTGCTCTGCAGGAGAAAACAAAGGCTTAATACTTCCTTACAGAGGTACAGTCTGACACCCCCAGGGCAATTCTACTCTGGCCTGTAGAGTGGCTCTGAGTTGGAAGTGACTCAGTGGCAGTGAGCTGGAGCTTGGAGCGACACCTTATAGACAGTAAAAACGGGGAGGGCAGCACCAAGCCTCTAAAGTGTCTTGGTCCCGGCGGTCCCACTGGGAGCCTGTACCTGTGCTGCCAGTCCAGCCCAGGGCTCGGTACTGCTGGAGGACTCGGCCCACGGCGGCCTTGTTTTTGGCAACCGTCACGGCTCTCGACAGACCAAACCGCTGTTTGTAGTACCTCAGCAAGGAGCGGTGGCCCACTCTGGCACCTGCGGGGGGAGCCAGAAGGACACAGTAACTTTCTACTGCTGTTAACAGTGACCAGTCCTGGGAAAACTCACTGGGCAGTTCTGCCCTGTCCTATTGGGACGCTGAGTCGGCATCGAGTCAATGCAGGGAGTTTGAGTTTCTGGGTCTCTATTCATATACCTCCCAGGATCACTGGCTTTGCTTCTCCAGAGAACCCAGCCGAACACAAAACCAAAGACATTTCCACACTTACAGAAAGAAATCCCTCCCAAACAACTGCATTGCCGTGCAGAGAAGCGTCAGCGGAGGGGCAGCATCTGAACTAAAAGCCAGAGCATTAAACCGAGCAGAGAGCGTCAGGGCACAGGACAAGCTGAGTGTGCCTGTGGGCAACAGGCTGACTTGCAGACGCGGACTGGAGGCCCCAGCACTTAGTGGAGGAGCTGGGCAGAACCTGTCATGACCAAAGACTGGTGACT